GCATCAATGTTGATGTGCTACTGCCAGGGACTTGCCTGAACATTGCAACAACATTGATAGTAAGGTTGAAGTAACATTACAATAATCTTACATAATATTGATATGCACCCATCAACATTGTTATAAGGTTGACACTTCTTGACATCTCCTTGATTGCCGGTCTATCAAGCTTACATCAATGTTGATATCGTCAGTCTTATCCGGACAATACCTACTGATTTACCATTCCATTCATATTAGTAACATTACATCAACATATGTCAGCAAATAACAACATTGCTTTAAGATATCATGCTGAGTGGGACGGATTGCAATGAATTGCAATTAAATTTGGAACCATGGGATCCCGTTTCTCTCTCATTGTCTTTAGACCCCGATGGTGCTGACGAGTAAGACAACTTTGATTCCTGGGCGCCCCGCCGTCGCTTTTGAGGCCCTAGGGGTCTATCTGATACCTTGACATTTTTAAAAAAATCTTCTTCAAGAGCTCACATATACCTCACGCAATGTCTCCATTTCGAGACTAGGAGGCCCCTTTGGTTCCCTCCTAGGTCTAGCAAACCACGTCGATACATCTGAATGTTGCAGTTTTGATTCCTTAAGACTCATCCGCTCTTTCGCTTTTGTAGCCCCAAGGATACCGCTGATACTTCTACGAATTTCATTTTAATGGTCCTCGGTGGCCCCTTTTACGCGTCTCTAAGGCCCAAGGAACTCCTTGAGTATCCCTGTTTATTCTAGATTTGAGGCTTTAGGGGTCCTTTTAGGACTCTTTGATACAAATATCAAGAACTTTGGGGCCTTGAAGAGGCTAAAACGGATGAAAAAATACCCAAATTACAGAAAAATAAGTAAAAATCTAGGGAGAGCATCGCCGCGGGAGGAAGGACCCCCGCATCCAGATTCTTAGCAGGTGACGCTCCCTAGTCATGCAGTTTGCATTCCTGTTAAAATTACCGGCAACGATAGTGTTGCAATGAACATTGACAGCCAGAAAGCTTGAATGTGAAGGAAGGAGGGAAGGGTTACCAGGTATGACATTTGTGAATGCCATAAAGGAATGAAAAGATTTTGGAAAAAATCTCAGGATCACTGTGCAGAATCTGGTCCTCTTGGCCTCCCCAACTCTACCTAATCTTCCAATTTCATTGCTTAACGCGAAAAGGACGAGCTGAAGGTTAATGTCAACCACTTAAGCTTGGGTATCATGTTTGGATTTGGGGTGGAAAAATTTGGTTTGGTTAGGAAAATCGTACTTCAGAAAATCTTCAAAACCACCATTATTAGCCAAAAATGCTTAGAAAATGGTGATTTCCGAGCCTTTCTGAAAGGAGATGGTTACGAGTGCCACCGTTTTGATTAAAAACCCCGTTAGAACATCCAGCTGGGACGTACAAAACCGAGCACTAACCTGATTTGATGCACTTATATCCCTGGTTAATCTGGCACTTGAAGCACACACACAAACCTAAAAAAGAACCTTAAAACCACGGGACGAAGGGAACTCGGCACTCGGCTTCGTGACCGCTGATTTTAAAAACATCCCGCACCGTTACCGGCGCGATACTCGGAATTTCAGGGGGGAAGAAAGGCGGAAACTAAATATAGGGAGCTTTTGAAGCTCCCGGGAGCGCACTGGAAAGAGGTCACTGGTCAGTCACCGGGCTAACGTCGGGCCTGGCGAGCGGGGCGGGGGGGCTGATTTCGGGTAGCGGGATCACTGCGAAGGTCCGTGTAAGCGTATCGGGGGACTGCGCAGGCGCACCGCGACGACGAAATTGTGGGACTGAGTGGCAGCGCTGAGTGGCGCAGCGACCGGGGCCAACCGGGCTGATTTTGATCGGTTTTGGAGGGGGCCTGGGGGAGACGGCCCCCTGGCCCCCCGTCCCCCGCTCTCCGGGCTTGCAGTGGGAGCTGGGCGACCGAGAACCGTTAACCAGCCGAGTGGCTCCGTATATTACTTACGCGACGGCCGCAGCCCGCAGCCGCCTGGGCCTCCAGTCCACTTTGCTGTCCTCCCGCTCCCGTTGACATCTTTATCCGCTCACTCTCCCTGTCGCGCTCGCCACATTTTCCGCCTCAGTCTCGCCTCGCACTTCCAGCTCCAATTTCCCGCTGAAGATGAGTGGAAATCTTAAGTCTTCAAAGGCCTTGTCTCCACGGGAAGTTTCATGGGATTTGTCCCAGGGAAAAATCTCACTTGCGAAGTTGGGAAAAATATTGAGTTGGTCAATAATAATCACAGTAACGACTAAAAGTCCTTGTGGAGTCCCAAGAATGACTTCAATAGAAGAGGAAGAAATTCTGTTGTGTTTTTAAACGAGAAAAAATCCCAAAAGTTTGATTCCTGCGATTCGAACTTGGGAAAAATTCCGTGAAACGTCCCGTGGAGACAAGGCGAAATAAGCACGCTTGGCCACGGCCAAAGGACAGCTTTGAAATTTGGTCACATCCATATCAGAGAAAGTCAAAGTTGCTTTGCGACGTTATCCTTCTTCGTCTGCTCGTCACGGCGAACTCGTGATTTTCAATATTTCAGACGTGCTTAGGTGCCTGCGACATGAAATTTTGACCGTATCCGTGAAAAAGGGCCTATCTGCTACTACTACCCAAGTAGCACAGTGCGACGAAAATATTGAAATGAAATTGCGATTTGATTTCAATGAAATTGTAATGTTTTAACCATTAAATTGCAATATTTTTACATCATTTAGTCGACTTACGCCAATTTAAAACAATCAACAAAATGAGCTTTATACGTCAGAAAGATAGGCAATATGCAATGCAATGAAAAATTGCAACTTATTTCAGTTTCACTGCAGTGAGTTTCAATAACTGGAATGAAATGGGCCCCTTCAAATAGGAGCTAGGCAACATACACAACACTCAGTGGAATTGCAATATTTTTACGATGCAGTTGCTACTTATTGCAGTCTGTGCTACTTGGGTAATAAGCCGCTTCCGTGCGCTCTGTGAAAGCCAACCCCGCCACAGGTGGTGATCCTGCCAAAAGCTTCTCTGGCAAATCGCATCTCCTCATTTCCTGCTTTATAGGTGCCGTCAATCCACGATTCGGCAGAGCGTCCTCTACGTTTTCTACCCGGGGGGGGGGGGGAGAGAGAGAGCCCAGAACCCTCTTAGGCAACCTATCATCTAGCATCCTTCGCACATGAACAATGCCCATACCAGAGACAAGCTGTTCCGAGAAAATGTCATGTACTACGTGTTGTTTCCGACGCCCCTAATTTCACGTGGACGTACCCTGCTTTCATTCCGAACGTGATCTTTCCTTGATGCTTCGGCTGATCTCATCTTCTGGGAGAATTTTCGGCCGTTGTATCGTTCAAGTAAAGCAACTTTCGGGCCGGGTTAAGTACTTAGATGAAATACCGATTTGTATCGCTGAAAGTCGAGGTACAACTTCAGAAATCCCCACCTGGTATCAGCTTGATCTCAAATCTGGGCTCCAATGATCTAACTGAAGGTTTCAGCAAAACTGAATGGATTTTGGTGAATTTAAAATCTGGGGCTTACAAATTCTGTCAGAGACTCCTGACCGTCCGAGTTATTTTACGTAGTATTAAAAATGGGAAGAGGGTGTGCAAGTATGGGTGCCCGGTGCCCCGCTAGAAAAAGATGGCACATTTTATAGGTACTCAAAGCTTTGTTGATGATCAGATGGTTGTAGTCCGGGACGAAGAAAGCGAGTGGACGCAAGCAGGCTACATGAAACGTAAATTGGCCTGGAGGGCACTAAAAATGTTAATATATTTACATTAATTAGCAGTTGATATCGGTAATTTTTGTTGCGCGAGTTATTGTTTTGTGCGTAAAATTTCGAAAAAGAATCATGTACATATCAGAATGCTTGAATTCGCATCTTATCTAGTGGTCCATTGGTCAATATTGTCAACCTAAGATTCGCCTTCCACTCCACCGTGTAGACAACAAGCATGTCATTCCATAGACTTTGATGGAACCAATAATAATGCAGGTATCAGCAGATATCCTCTGATTCAGATTCGCTTTTAATCTCATTGTATAGGCAGTAAACATAACGGGGAACAGGAACAGTTATCTATTCAATAAACAGGCATAACTTTCGCTCCATTAACTTTCATAGAGACAATAGAGAATGTGCAAACTTTTCGGCAGATATCGTAGACGTTGAAGTTACCATTGGAGTAGGAGAGTTTCCTGATTTGGTGCACTTCTCGGGCGAAAATGGGCCTGACAATTTTTTTCAACTAAATCCACTAGAGTGTTGAGCTTATCAGCAACGGATGTCTGGACCAAATTCAAAATTTCTCGACCCACCTCCAGCAGCCCGACCACAGACTTTGACTTCCATCGATATTGATAGAGCTCAGTTCCATTCCAATGGATTACCCCATTGGAATGGAACTGAGTTCTATCAATATCGATGGAAGTCAAAGTCTGTGGTCGGGCTGCTGAGCTGGGTTGAGCAGTGAATGTGTTTAGAAGCAGGTTTCATCAAAATCCTTGAAGAATTATCTATTTTCAAAAATTCCAAAATAAACATAGTATCTAACTTTCTTCCAAATTTTACTGAGATTTCTCTACTTTCTTTGGTCTTAGGTGCATTTTATGTTTTTTGTGCTTTTGCTTTCTATTAAGTTTGTTCTCTTGTCTGCATGCCCTAGTTGTCACCTTGTATTGTTTTTCTTTTCAAATTTTTTTGGTATCCTGATTAAAAAATGATTATGTGATCTTTGAGCCTCTTCTATTGTAATATATACATAAATAACTTTAAATAAAGATACTAATTTGCCAGTTATCATTGCAAAAATGGTAAAACTGCGCTGATGTTTCAAAAGGGCAGTTACCTAAAATAAAACGCTGTATGCAAAAGCACATGCCCATGTACAGATGTTACCATGTACAGATGATTGTTAAGTATATTGATAAGTGTAGATATTGATTCGATAACTCTGTTATAATATGACAAAATAAATATGGGAAAGAAGATAAAATTCCAATTCAGTAACAGTAAAACAACTTTATTCACAGAAGAAGGACTAATTTCTTGTATTTATATCATTACTTAACGACATGCAGATGATGTAGCTTGAAAGAACAAATCTTACTCCTGTTATCAACATCTTGCTACCTTGGACCCATAAAGTGCTCCTACTTACTTACATACATATCCTTACATACTTTCACACATGAGTGAATTTTGATTTTTTTGTTTACCCTGAATAATTTGATCAATCAAAAGTTCTTTTTGACGCGCAGATAAAATAGATCTTTCAATGGGACAACATATTCATAAAAATTTGCTAGGAAATAATGCTATTCTATTTCACAGACCTTTATATTAGAAATAAAAATTGACCAGAGAGCTGAAAAGTATGTAAATTGAATATTATTGATTTTATATGTTATATCCCTTCCTGTTTTTTTTTAAAAAAAATCCTTACACTACAGTCAGGCTAAATAATCCCTACTAGGCCTGAGTTCTATGATAGTGTAATCAGTTTTCACTGTTGCAAACTCGAAGAAGCTTACTTTTAAAACTTAAAAATTGCTCATAATAATTGCCTTCTCATTCATTTTTGAGTTAATCACAATAAGTTACTTAGCATGCACTTGATCACGGTGGTTATCTATGACAAAAGAATTACCTTTGATAATTTATGACACCAAAATAATTTACTGAGTTTTCTAGCCAAGTTTACTTGGGCTGAATTAGGGAATGGTAGGACCAAGTGTCAGTATTTAAAAAATACCCCATAAGAAACAATGCCTTCAATATGTAATTCAAACATTTTTACAGAGAAAAGACAAAAATATTGTTTCTGGCATTGTGTATGAAGATCAGATGATCAGTAAGTCACTCAATTCCTACTGTGGCGCACTCCTAAGGAATTCCATTTCATGAAAAGACAACCATGCTGTTCATTTTGTAGCATAAGGAATATTACTATCGCTTTGTCACAAAAAACATTTGGCAGTATTGTCTCTTGGGTGACAAAATTTCAGATGGCTGTATTACTGCATGCTCTGTCAACAGGCCTGTTTTGTTTTAAAATTCATGTAAAAAGAGCATTACGTAACATTGAAAATACCTTAACGTAGAAAAATTTTCTATCAAAAAATGTTTATGTTTCTTTTCCAGGTTTATTCAGCTCGGCTCGACTCTCATTTTGCATGCGCCACATTGTTGAGTACAGACTAGATGAAGAGGATAATAGTTCCCGATGCGAGCCCCGCTCAACAATTTTCCCATGCTCTAAAACTAAAATTTCATCTGCATCCATCACTGTGGACAAGCGATGAGCAATGCAAATTGACGTTCTTCCTTCAGTTGCCCGATTAAGAGCATTTAATATATTCTGTGAAAAAAGAAAAGACAGCAACTATCAACAGAATTATCCAGAAAAGTGGCTTTACAACCCATAGAGTACTGTACTTAGTGCTCATTGCATTTAAAAAAGTCAAACCCCCCAAGACTTTGCTGAAAATTTCCGGTGTTTGCACGCAGAGTGAGGAGACAGAGTTCCACGTTAAAATCATTTAGAGAGCCGAATCTTTAAGTGTTTGACTGGTGTCATTGAAAAGCGCCAAAATTCCCTGTGTTTCTAGAATTTGAAAACTTAATGCAATAAGGAACTATTTGCATCACCAAGTTGCAAATATTAAGCAACTTCTACATTCACCATTAATGAAATTTGCAGGGTGCTTTTTTTGTTCAATTGACAATTCTTTAGCATACAAACAGAATATCTTTGAATTTTCAGGTGTTTTTTGCAAGATCAAGGAAGTTGCACCATCTTGCTAGCATTGCAACGCTTGCAGTGCTATCTTACGAAAATTAGTCCAAAATTCTCTCAAATTCATTGTTTTTCTCATGATTTTTGCAACAAAATTACACTAGCTGTGCTTTCCCAGGTTCTACATACTCTGTTTTCTTTTCCTTAGGATATATTTTCTCCTTTTTCATAAGCCTTTCTGGGTTTATATAGATCGAGTTATTTGATTATTTTGAAGATAGAATGTCCAGTTACCAGCTAATCAATAGTGAATTATATCATTTCAACGATAAGACAAGAAGAGAGAGAGAGAAAAAATGTTTCCTGGAGTGCAAAGAGTTATGACTGAAAAGGTATTAATTCTATGTTATGAAAATTCCAAGAATGATGAGAGGAAGAATTTAAATCATAGGATGTAAAACAGTGAGTTACTGAAAAAAGGATTAAAAATAAAAGGGCTTATCCGTCCAATATTGAAAAACCCATTTTTAGTAATAAATCACAAGCTATGAGTCAGATATCACTTCCAGAAAAGAACTGCTCTATGATAACTTAATCATATGATATGAGTGATTTTATCTATTAAAAGCAATAAAGTTACAATTTATTTTTCTTAGATTTCCTCACGTTTTAAACACCAAAAGCACGACACACTAAATCAATTAGCAATACAGAGTTGTTCTGTTCAACTTACATGTTCAGTGATAGAATCCAAGGCCGAGGTTGCCTCATCAAACACTAAAATCGGGGATCCTTTTAAAATAGCTCGAGCTATGGCCACTCTCTGCTTCTCACCACCAGATAATTTCAAACCTCTTTCACCAACCTGAAATTAAAAAGTCAAACATTGTGCTCTTGAAGTGTACTGTTTTGAAAAGCACATATTAATTATAACTGCCAATTTTAACCTGAAATCGAATGGACAGTGCCGAGGGTGCCAATAATTTAAGAAATATGTTTGTTGTAGATCAACTGGAATTTATATCTGCTTGGATACAACTCAACTAAGTAGATAACTTGTAAATAGTTCTTCTTTTCTCCTTTCAGAGAGGGTTCCTGACTGCCTTATTCCAACTTACATGGATATATTTAATAAATTGAAAAAATCCTTCTTTTACAGGTCAACTATGAGAGGATCACGCTTACAGCTATAAAATTCAATGCTTTTGAAGATCATGATTTAAAAGAATGACGTTCCGACTCTGAGCTGAAAAATAATCTTTAGGTGTACCAAAGAGGACTTTCTCAAACTGTTCCCAGGAGAATTATAACTAATGATAGAACTTATGAATTTTCTTCTAAATCTTGCTGACGGTATCTCTCTTCAATACAAGGATTCAATTCGTCCCTTCTAAAATTTTTGCACTTGGGATGAAATGCATTTACCTGTGTATTGTAACCCATGGGCCACTTGGTAACTGAATTGTGTAAGTCGGCCATTTTTGAAGCCTCCAGCACTTGGTCATAATTTTTTGATAAATCTCCATAGCTTAAATTGTAAAATATTGTTTCATGGAACAAAACAGAGTCCTGTAAAAAAATGACATTGGATTAGACAGGGGAATATAACAGACTAAGGGTAGGATTATTTATTCAGTACATAATAATATGCAATGAAATGACATAATTTTCATGGTGCAGGGCAAACCTCTGATGAGTAAAAATCTTTGATGTACTAATACGATTTTTTCCAGTACAGGCGAATATACAGGGCAACCTCTTTCTCTGTTACTTAAAGTCACATAAAGCTCTCGATGGGACAAGAAAGAAATGGACCCCATGGATTCAAAATTTAATTATTTTGAAGTTATCATTATCTTGAAGCTAGTGTGCTATTTACAGTATTTTGACGCATTTTTAAGTTTCTTTAATTAGAATATTTATTTCATTTCTTTGGACATTTTCTGATAGAGAAGTGTGGCCACATGAAAGGTTGAAGCAGAAGGTTTGACGATGCTTAAAGAACCCTCAACCTAGACATGACAAATGAATTTAGCTGACCAGGTGAAAATTGAGTCTTGAAATAAAAGGTTGAGCCTTACCTGAGGTACAATGGCAATAGCCTTTCGAAGACTCTCAATTTGGACATCACTGATATTTTGCGAATTGATGTAAATGGAACCTGAGGTTGGTTCAAAGAATCGATAAAGAAGTCTTATTAAAGATGATTTCCTGCAAAAAATTAAGTGATGCTGTTGTATGCATTGCTAAATCTTAAAGAGAGTATGCTTAATGACACACTGCCGTGTTACCAAAGAGAGCAGTGAGTGCGAAACTGATGTTTCAGAAAGTGGACTGAGTGGCGTTTGAGTGGAAAATTTTACTGCAAGATGGGTAAAATTGCCACCAACTGTTCGGAAGAATCAGAGATTGATTGGACGATTGAAAATCGACAAATTTTATTTTGACTATAAAAAGGGCCTTCTTCATTTCCAGGTTAGGCAAGACAGCCCTAAGTCCTATCTTTGGATAGTCCTACCAATTCGGACACACAATAAATAAATTTTAAGGTTCAACATTGGCAGAAAGGGCATCATTTTACAAAATGAGAACAGCTCGCTGGCGGAATAATGTTCCTTTCAGCTGTATTGTGTGAAACAACATTAACTTCATGACAGGACCATTCAACCAGAATTAGCCTCCCTGTGTTTCTCGTTCCAAAATTTCCTCTCATATTTTATTTCTTTAATGTATAAAAATCTGGGCAACATAATATTTTGGAAATTTCTTTGATGTTTTTTTTTTTCGTGAAATAACATGAATAATATTCAATAATGTACATGGGATAATAATCAAATGGGTACAAATTTTTACTTTATGAATTTGAAGTTAGTAATGGGAGAAACATAGATTTGAGAAAAATTTCAAAAATTGTTTGAAATCCCCATCTGCCATGTTCAGGGCACAAAGCTCTTAAATTACAACACATCTCCACATTCTCTCATTATGTAAAAAAAATTGAACTCATACTTAAGAACAAGAGTTTTCTGTCAAAATCTCAAAATCCAATTTTTTTTTATTCGATTCAAAAAAATCACTCTACTGAAAATTTCACCCACCTGAATGCAAGGTACCTTGTCCCGTCAATGGTCACCTTGGGATAAAAAACGGTGGAGAATCAAATGGATGGACCAAAATATTTCAATGCTTCAAGAATTAATTTTTGCAATCTTTTTTCTTTTCTTTCTTTCTTTTTTTTTTACGGAGGGTAGGGAGGAGGAAGATAATATGCGTTGCTACAACATTACTTACCCTGATCCAGAGCCACCAACAATGGCTACTTTTTTTCCTGCCGGAACAGTGAAAGACAGATTGTTGAAAATGGGCTTCCCATTGCCATAGTGAAAATTGATATTCTTGAACTCGATTGAGGCATTATCTGGGGTTACATTGAGTACTGGAGCTTGAACTTTACTCTGGAAATATGACAAATTATTTCTAAAAAAGAGAGTTTAGTTCCACTTTCAGTTAATCCGACTGGATTATCTTAGGATAAACACATAACAAATAGTAATTTGCCTATCGGATCTCCTATCGGATCTAGTAATTTCATTGATTGAGATCGAGAAAAGAACAAACCTAGAGGCTCATGAAAAATAAAGCGATAAGCCCAAAAATGATTTTACTAGGAATAAATGTGATATCTTGCCAACGTTTGTTGATAGGGAAACACCTTTATTACTTTAAAACTTGGTTTCCTTTCGCTAAATGCTCTACTTGCTAAAACTAAACGAATCAGATCAAGTCTGAACAAAAAGGCTTGATTAAGCTCATAATGAGTAAACAAACACTCTCATTTGCTCTGTGCAAAATCTGGTTGCTGTTATTTCTAAATAGAATAATTGTTATAATGAGTCATAACTGCATTTCTGCTCTTTTAATTTCCTAGCCAAAACAAAGAATAATCTGTGAAGCAAACAGCTTCTTGTTCTCCATCTTCTGTAGAGACATCAAGCATTGTTTACTCTACTGTTTTGTCTGCAGGGGGAAAAACAAGTAATGATTCAACAGCTGGTTGCATAAGGTCCCTACTGGTTTGAATTTTAAACTTACCCTAATGCTAGGACTTTGCGTCATGAGTGTGAACATAGTCTGCATATCTATGAGTGCTTGACGGACTTCTCTATAGACCGACCCCAGGAAGCCAAGGGGTACAGACAGTTGAAAGAGGAGTCCATTTATCATTACCAGATCTCCAACAGTCAAGGATCCTAAAAAAATAAAAGGTCATGATGAAACTACAACAAAAGTAAACAAAAATAGAGATGATCAATCAAATTTTGGTTTCCTTTTACTAAAAAATCAGGAAAAAAAAATTAATAACATATGGCACATCTCAGCTACACATAAAAAATTTGTTTTGAGGACACTTGATGAAAGCCAAAGCTATTTGAGGGTAACATATTGCGTTCAACTGGTATAATTCAATGGTAATATTGAGAAGTAGTTGTTGTGTTTCAATACTTTAAGCTTTGATTTAAAATTCTCAAAAGAGATTTTTCTAAGACAGACAGCTGAAATAAAATGCTGCATATTTTTAATTTATGCCCCCCCCCAATTTTGTTAAAATTTAAAGTCAAACTAGCATTTTAGCTCCACTTTGATTTGAGAAATGAATAGAGTTTCATTGTTCAAAACTGAACACAAAATTTGTACTTATTCTTTTCCATATCTACGATTTAGTTTTTAAAACAAGAAGAGAAACAAAAATTACCTATTTCCTACTTTGTCTTTAATATGTTGTGAGTAACAAGTCAATTTTGTGAGGTTACTCCTATCATCCTTAAATACAATTATTTCTTCATCGTAATACGTGATGCTACTTGCAGTGGCTCTTTGAGAAGTTAACGATTCGATAGTCGATCGATCAGATGTAAGTCTTAAATCTGAGAGTGAAAGCATTAGATATATGTTTGTTTACTCACCAGCTGCTATTTGCTTTGCTGCTAAGACCATAGCTATGCTCATTGCTCCGCTGAAAATCGCATTTTGACCAAAATTCAACATGGCAAGACTTGTGCTAGTTTTCAGAGATGCGGCCTCATACTTCCTCAGAACTTTATCATATCGATCAGCTTCGTATTGTTCATTGCCAAAATACTAAAAATGAGAGCAAAAAATCCCAAAAATTTAACACACATTTTCTTTCATCTGTAATCCATGACTTGTATACTTTTTTCTACTTCTTATTGTATACAGAAAAAGAAAGAGAATGAATAAACACTCATACCTATTTTGACGATGATGTATTACGTCTCCGTTCTCTCCGAAATTGGAAAATACATAAGTTATGAGCTTTCTGGTTCACTATTGTGCTAATGTAGGGCCCATATAGTTATGTGTTAATGAGAGAAATTTGCTTTCTCCATGCATCGAATGGACACTGAAAATAGTTTTTTGCCCAAGAACTTTACTTGAACTATACACTGCAACGCATTTCAAAACAATTAATGAGCTTTTAGTGTCCTCATGTAGATCGCAGATAGGTGCTTCAATGGATCAGCCAAAAGTAGAAGTTCCCTACAGAAAAGTATGGTCCATCTGAATTTTGAGTGTTCGGCATTAAGGTCCCTTTTTTTCTTCTTGGATTTAGCATATAAACTCGGTGCAAAACAGGACCAAATCAAAACCAAAGAAAAACTAGCGATAGTAAATTATGCAAATAAACAAGGCAGTATGAATACCTTGACGGTTTCGTAATTGATTAGAGAATCGATGGCTTTGTTTCCAGCCTCATTTTCTGCTTGGTTCATGTATACTCGAAATTTCGTCCTCCATTGTGTTACAGCCAAAGTGAATAAGGTGTAAATAGACACGCAGCCTAGAGACAGGGTGGCAAATTCACCTCCACATTTGAGTCCCTGACAAAAAAAATTTAAACATCACACAGAATAATTTCACGGCTATACAAAAGGCTAAGTGCTATTTCAGTTTATTGCAAAGATTACGGCAAGTCCTCAAAACAGAAACTCACTGCTGTACATTTTACTTGAGTTTTAAACCTCTTCAACACAAGAGGTGCGGATTTTTCATACGGTGAAATCTGCTTAAGTTGAATTGTATGGAGAACGGAAAGAAATTTTGACTCAATTAGCTTTTCACATTATCCGCATTGCCTCTTCTAAAATTCGAGTTACTTCAGCGGCAACACCTCCATCCATCACAACAAGCAGGCCGCCATTTAAGATTTTTTCAAGTTACTTTTCCAAAGTCAATACTCCATTGTTAATTATCAAGGGTACATCAAGGTTTTATCTCTTTACTTTATACCTCTAGTTTTCAATGCTTTATTCATTTATATATTTAGTTTATAATGTATGGCATAGTTGCTTTGGAGTCAGATAAATTTTACATACTACTACTACTCATTACTTAACAAAAAGAAAAACAAAAAGAGATAAATAAAAGCTTTGGCGCTTGGCAAACATAAACGGGTATAGAGGAAACACTCGACAAAATATAAGTAGACATAACGCATCTAAATCCTAAGAGGAAGAAGAGAATTTAAAAATCATTCAACATCAAGTCTTCAATATTTCTTATCTCACTTCTGACTCAATTTTGAAGTACAATTTTGTTTAGAAGTATCAATTACAGTTCATTCATTGAATAAAATAATTCATATCATTACTTACAAGAATTGCGCTTACGAGTGCTAGCTCGAGCACTGTAGGAACTACGTTAAATACCATCGCAGAGAGCACAAAATTTATGCCGCGACTGCCTCGATCTATGACCTAAAAAATTTGAAATTGCAGTTGATTATTGAAATTCTTACACATCCATAGCTTATCCAGAAATTTAGAAAGACAAATACTTTAAGATTATTTGGGCTGCAGTCAGTGGAAAGCAACTGATTTATTTGAGAAAGAGGGAGTTTGCTTTTTAGTCTATTTTTTTAGGCCTCAATATTAATGTGCACCTAATTCTGTGCTGGGAATCAAAATTCTTGGATTAAAAATCTAAGGAGGGGCTAATTGTTGCTCGGTACCTTTTGGCATTTAAATGGATTCCATGAAAGGAAACATGGCTTTCCATGGCTTTCATGGAGAAAGTGTCTCCATGAAATGTAGGTACTTAATAATTTTCTGAGGATGCTAACAAAAAAGGCTTTCGAGTACTTTGTTCTCTGGTCTAGAGATAGATGTAAGCTAATTTTAGCCTATTTTATGGATTGAAAATTCCAGAAGTGTCTGGTGGAACGTATTGTGTTGTTTTGTCGGTTTTTCAGCATTGTTTCCTCATATTTTAAACTGATCACTACTTATTTTCTGGCTATTTTAAATTCATTTTATCACTGTATATTTAAGTTAAATTACCACAACATGGGTTAAAAAAAAATTGGGACCATATTTTATGAAACCATTTTCCTCATGGTCTAAATACTTCTGATACCAGCTGATTGCAGAAATTGGCAGGAAGCGTTTGCTCATCAGACACGATTCTTTCCCAGTCTTTTTAAAATCAGGGGATGCCAAGCAATCTGTCTAAATGACAACTTTATTTCTCTTTTATTTATGTTTTTCGTGGTATTTTGGCATTGTGTGAAAAAAAAGACAATATGAAGAGAGAACTAAAAATTAATGTCATGAAGGAACGGAGAAGACGAGCTGACTAACTTTTGAGAGAGCTCCTGTCTGCCTATTGAGGTGAAAAGCAAGATCTAGACTATGAAGATGGAGGAAAACATTCTTGGCGATTTGTCGGATGGAGTTTTGGGCTACTCTTGCAAACACTGCATTTCGTAACTCATTGAATCCCGCAGCACCAGCTCTTGCAATTCCATCTGAAAATCAGGACAGAGTATCAAATCAACAACTCATAGTTTCATCCATCAAGTTTCTACTGATAAGATTCAAATGTTGAGGGAACATTAATACAGCCCCCTCATTGGCAGCATGGAGCGGAGCATTGAGGGTTCATGCCTCGCGCCATCGCGCCTTCAATTTTGCAGATGCAGCACGGACATCTATCAAGCACGAATAGTTGTATCCCTGCGCCGTCATCAAAGCGCGTCCTTTCTCTAGCTCGGTTTTCATATTGGGTTTGTTCTCGTTGGTCTTATTTGTAGTGATGCTTCAAGAGCTCTGTGAAAAATGTCAGCCGAAGATGAGAGAGACGCAATCAGGGCCGGATTTACCTACTTGCCGCCCATGGGCCGCCTGTATTTTGCCGCTCCCTCCTCATTTGTTTTGAAACATCAATAAAAACCATCAAGTGAACGTGCCGGAGGGGGAGGGGTGCATAAGACTCGTTTACTCGTGTTGGACACATTTTTTGCGAAAGCCCTGTCAACACTCCTAGCAAAAGTTCACGGAACTTTGCGCGAAAGTTAAGTTCCTTAAACCTATCTCTGAGTGGACAAGGCCTTCCATTTGTAAGAAATGAACGTAAAAATTATGCAAGGACAAACATAAATGTGGTTTAATAATTTTAACTTCCACCGCGCCGTGTTTGGCGCAATGCAAGAAATATTCCTACAGCAGGCTCTGCGTTTCACGCCGACCGCTGCTGAACACTGTGTCTGGCGCAATGCGTGAAGTATTCATGCAGTCTTGTAGGCGCTATGCGTTTCCTGCCGACGGCTGTTGACCGCACTGTGTTTGACGCAATGCGTGAAGTATTCATGCAGTCTTGTAGGCGCTATGCGTTTCCCGCCGACGGCTGTTGACCGCACTGTGTTTGACGCAATGCGTGAAGTATTCAAGCAGTCTTGTAGGCGCTAATATGTGTTACATGCCGACTGCCGCGCTGAGGGCTTCTCCTTTCCATCTCGAGTCCTCGTCATTATTGCTCTCTGCTCTGCGCCTCTCCATTACACATTGCGTGTTTGGTTTCTCTCTTAACTCGACAAATTAAAAGTGCTGTCTCTTGTATCACCGAAAGACGACAAAATTAGAAATTACTATACTCTCAGGTAATGAGAGATTTTTTGTTCGTAATTTTTTTTCAGAATCCGATTTTCTATTCATACCTACATTAAAAAAAAAAAAAAAAAAAAANATTTTCTATTCATACCTACAAAAAAAAAAAAAAAAAAAAAAAAAAAAAAAAAAAAAAAATTTGCAAAATTTGCCGCCATGGGCCGCGGCCCATGTGGCCATGGCCACCCCCTTAATCCGGCCCTGACGCAATGGGGCCTCGTTGTTTAACTTTTCCAACTTAACCAAGTGACTGCTTATTGGCAGCATAGAGCAAAGCGTTGAGGATCCATGCCTCGCACCATTGCGCCTTCAATTTTACAGATGCAACACGGACATCCATCAAGCACGAATAGTCGTATCTCTGCGCCGTAATCAACACGCGTTGAGGTGTCCCCTTTCCTAAATGAAAGAAGTTGTGTCCAAATCAATAATTACTTTGAAAAAAAATGGGAATAACGGAAAAACGTGTTCGTAGGTCTCTCACGCGTCATAAAGGACACACGTCTGAAAATTGGTACGTTGCGTGTTGGCGAAAGCATGTGTCGTGTCTGGTATTTTTTCCTTTTTAACGACTACCCCTAGAAATTCCAGGCCGGGTCAAGTTGATCCGACTATCTCTTCTGGGGGAGTTACAGACGGCGGACAAGGGGGTGTGGGGGGTGAGAAAACGCCCGTATTCGGTATGTTACCAAAAGTTTGAAAATTTCAAAAAGTACTCCTTACCTTCAAAAACGCAGAAATGACACAGATATTAAAAAAAAAAAGAAAAAAAAAGAAAAAAAAAGAAAAAAAAGAAAAAAAACAAAAAAAACAAAAAAAAAAACAAAAAAATATTAAAATCAATGTACTTAAATACGGGTCAATTGGAGCCGACTTGGGGGGTTTTCGTATAGAAACAAAAACTTGGGCATTGGCGAATCCAGGTAATTGGGAGCATTGCCTTCTCTCCATTTAAAGCTATGAAAATATATCGATTCTTGGAGAAAAGGAGGCAATTCGGTGTTGCCAAATTGCTGAATCTGCCTCTGTCTGAGGGTTGAAGATTGAACTAAAGGGACACATTTTAAGCAAATGGGACCAGTACATGTATTGCTATTTCGCTCCACGTTGAATGAAAAATTAAGCGTAACTTACAACCGACTAGAAGAGCCACAGAGGCTGAAAGAACTGTATCCGGAGCACTCGAGAAGTTCAAAACAGCTTCGCCATTGGAGGATGCTAGGGTGTTTAGGCTGTCTACAGCATGTTTAAAAAGGAATGGAACTCCAATATTCAAGACTTTGGCACCGACAAGGAGACCCATGGCGACTTTCACTCGATTGCGTATTTCCGGTTGGTCCTAAAAAAATAAAATTAAGTAATTTCATTAAAAGGTTGAGAGCATAAAATGGCCGAGACAAACGGTTTAGAATCTTTCATAGGAGATCCATGAGAGGCGAAATATTCATACATGCATGAACAAAGAAAAAAAATAATTTTACTTATTCATTGTCTGAGGCCAAGAGAAAATAAGATGTATCTTGCTTTGGGGCTTTTGTCCGTGTCTAGTCTACTAATATTCACCAAGAAAAGCTGATCAGAATGATCGAAAAAAGTATCTCCGTAACGTATAAGGACAAACAAATTCGATGCTAATTTTTCAAAATATTCAATACTTTCTAAGAGAGCGGTCATTTTCCGGACAAATACTGGTTTTCCACAAATTATAAGATAGCCACATGAGCGCGGGCTGGTTATTTTGAAAAACCATAATCTTATTCATGTTCAGCGTAACAAAAAATCCCGAAAAGAAAACATCCTGCAATCCTGCATTCAGGTGGAAAAACATGGATTGAGTTGCGGGTTGTGCAGCCGTGTTAACTAAGTCCTTGGCTACCCGAAATTAGACCATTTTTGAGAGGTAGGCAAAAGAAGTACAAAGCCTTCTGGCTCCTTTTGATCGAGAAACACCCTTAAATGGACCACTAGACAAGGTACGAATTTCAGCATTCTGATACATGCTTCTTAACCAAAATTTCTCGTAGAACACGATGCGCACAACGAAAATTACCAAAATTAACTCCTTACGAAGATATTAAATAATTCTTGATGCGTGAATTCAAACCACCCGCTCATGAAAACTCAATGCTCTACGTGATTCACATCGTGCGCTAAACGTTATCATGACAGTCTCTGCGATATAAAAATCTGGCAACCTCAATATTGACGCTTTGGCTCAGCTATAGCAAGTTGTTTATAGTTTGAACAACACATGGTGAGGAATGAACATTGCTCGATTGAGAAGCTTGCTGAAACCGTTGTAGTGCGCGATTTGACTCACGTAGAGCTTTGAGTTTCTTGTGAGCGGACAGTTCAAATTCCTCGTAACGTATGTGAAACAGAAACGTTAATATCTTTGTTAGGAGTTGGTTTCAGTAATTTTCGTTGAGCGAATCGTGTTTTACGTGAAATTCTGGTGAAGAAACATGTATCAGAATGCTTAAATTCGTACCTTGTCTAGTGGTCCATTTTCAATTTCATGGCTCTGGCTCATGGCTTTTCATTAGTAAAAAAGTTAACAGTAGAGTGCGGAATTTTTGGACTACACTGTATACTTGAGGAGCCCTAGTTTGTAATCAGTAGGCAATACTAAATTTTTTCTGGCAAAAGAATTTCGGCAAGGTACTCACTTGAGGCCATATGTACGAGGTCATGGCTTCCAACATTTGCATGCTGCTAACTTTTTCACCTTCCAGAGGAATTTGCTCTCTATTTAACCCGGAGACTCCAGGATGAAAACAATTCCGCTTCGGCACTTTCTGCAGTTTGAAGAAATTTTTGATGGCGGCTCTCCCACTAATATGACGGCAAGGAGCGACGTAATGATTTGCGGAGAGTAATCCATTTCCTGGCTTTTTGGTTTCCTGATGATTCCGGTCCGAAAAAAGGTTTGTGTGGAGAGATGCGACGCGACTCTAGAAGAACGAATATTTTTTCCCGAAAAAGAGAAAAAAAGGGTGGGGGAGCATATTTTCAGTTCCTTAGATTAATTCAAAATTAGGATACAATAAAAAATAATCTTGACATCTTCAAAATAAAACTCAGGTTCATAAAAGAAAAAAATTAGGGCAAATATTGGTAATAAATAATTCTTATCATAATAATTAGACAGAGCATATTGGGCTTAAAGTAATGGGCGAAGTTGCCATGGAGGTAAGATTTATTTTCAGTGCACTCAGACACAGAGCAAACTCACCACTACCCAGGCGCGTTCGACATGATGCATAATAATACTAATTTTTAAAGTTAATTTCCAGTGATCATCTAAGCCATTGAGAAGGACGCTGAAAGACGTACTTTTACACACATTTATCTTACAGCAAATAACATCTGGACATTAAAGTATACAAATGTCTATCTAAAGGTTTTTGTCTTCGTAAGGTTCAGAAATCAACATTATTTCTGACTGATTGGTTGAAAAAAAATAAATAAATAAAATGTGTATTTAGCGATTGGTCATCGAATATTGAATAATTGAGGCGGTGGCTGCAATGATAGCTCATACGAGAAAACCTTGTTCTTGTGGTGTCCAGCAGTGGCAAACCCTTGATCGCGAGCCTGATGAGTTACCTGGAGGTGCGCATTCCGGCAACTCTCGCCCATATTAAGGCTCTAATTGGTCGGTCAATTTCCTAAAGCCATTTCACGACTACGGCCATGATTTTGTCGGTTAAGTATTTTTTTCGTGTAACTTCGTCAACACTCATTCAGCCTTCCACCCACCGATATTTTGTTTACTCTTATAACTTCTGGCACACGAATTTATGAATATTTTTCTGCCAATTTTTCATACAATTTTTTTCGCAATTTTACCTAAAGATCCTGAAAATTTCAAGGAAAAATATGCATGCCTTTCCTCAAAAATAATCATTTAACCAGAGGAAATTTGGCAACTCTCAAATGTTCATACGGCGTTTTTCCTTAGCACGGCAGAAGTCTGCAACGTTGCAAACGGAGATACTTGGTCCCGCACTTTAGCTATCAATATGCCATTATTGCAGCTTCCGCCTCAAGAACTGATAAAATATGAGTTACGAAAAATTGTAAGGCGATTATGCCTGCCAGTCACCAAACGTTCTAACTTGACTAGAACAGAAAACAGTTTTGAAAAGGAGACATAAAAAAAAAAAAAAAAGTTGCAATAGAGTATCACCACTTTTGACTCCAACAGACAATTCGTTGCTCACCTGACATAAGGGCGTAATTACACTCTACAATAAACTCTGTCTTCCATACATTTCAGAGATTTTTTGGGCTCATTTCAATGTGTAGTTACGCCCTTATGTTAGCCAAGCGACGAATTGATAAATATTGTCTTTCTTAATGATGTCCTCGATTCTTACAGTATGCCTCATTTAGACAAAAAAAAGGAAGGGTGCTCTTAATAAAAAAAAAAAACAATGAGGCTTAAAAAATAAAAATTGTTTCCATGCTCTCTTTTCCTGAGGAGTGAATGTCTTAAGGGGGGAGAATCTACACGCAGTCGTATACAGGACATCACCATTGTTTGAAAAAAGATAACAAAAATATCTGACAACGTATAGTTTACTTTATACCTAAGATACTTAAGAAAAAAAATCAAAGTTAGAATTTAAGAACAGTTCATTTTCATCAAGGTCTAGGCAAAAACTTAATTCAGATCTTGAAGAGGTAGTAAGTAAGTGACAGCCCTACTGAAAAAGCCGACAAAAAGCTCTGATAGGGTTGTTCAGGTACATAATACTTTTATGGAGCTTAAAAAAAGAAAATTTTTGAGTTTGCAACAGAAACTTGTAATTAACGAGAAAGCTGGTATTTTTCCTATTTCTAATTTAGGCAAATACAAGTATTCAGACAAGGAATTTTTACATTCCTCTCTTCTAACAGCAATAAAATAGATACTTAAAGTTTAGTTTTCAGACTACTGATCTTAAATTGATGGATAAAAATGTTTAAAAAAAATTGCTGTTACTTATCAAGGAAATTCTAAACTTATTGAAAAAAAGAAAGAAAAAGAAAAATTCATTGACATGGCATTATGCATTATTGCATATGCATTGCATAGGTACCCTCATTGAAGACTGTAAAACCCATGTTTCTCCTGACTCAGTAACCCGATAAATTGAAAAAATAGTCAACAATAACATTACAAAAATACTTGAAGATAAATAAATTTTGAGCAATCACAATAATTAAAATCAGGGATTTTTCCAAAAGAGTTGCCCTACACTATTGGTAGGAAATCTGAGAAAAAAAACAGATTTTCAACGCAATTCTCGCTCTATCATGAAGAATGAACATTGAGGAAATAATTGTTGTTAAAAAATACTATGCAAACAGTAAATGTCCACGTCCAGTATTAACGAAGAGGGGCCTCTCGTTAATAAACACGGAGTATGACGTCATCCACCGAGATGGTGCATACTACGGTTTCATCAAGGCTTGAAGTCGAACAGTCAGGGAAACTTTGTCTATCACTAATATATGAAACCAAAGTGGGAAGGACTATGGAATGCACAACTGCAGTAGATGATCACATACGTCGTGTCCTTATCCTATGAACGATACCTTCATCCGTTAATATTAGACGTGAAAACTTGGTGCTGGGACAGATCGCTTTACTTTTTGCTAATCTGTAAGCTGGAACCAACAAAAATTGGTTTTGTGACTAACGCAACTGAATTATTTAGTGGAAAGTACTTTCACACTTATCTAAAATGCTCAGATATTCTTTAATTAGATTTATGCTAGTTTGATGGCACAGCAGTTGATCACCACTACTCAGAGCACCTCCTTGGTTTTCTAGCTGATTGACAAAACCTCCGAGTTCAGTTCTTTTGTCCTCTATCAGAATTAAAGCAATTTCTTTAATTAATTGAAGATCTTCATCGTCAAAATCATCACTGTAAACTTTGAATTCGATTGATTTCAAATTCATGCGATTTGATGAAATTAAAATGAAAATTATAACGTTGGCACTCCAGGATAAACCGTCCAAATTCAAAGAGGGATTCTTCAGGAGGGAATGAGAGCTAATGTAATTGACGTACGTGTTCATTGAATTTAGGACATTTGGATAAATTTTTTTGGTGCACTGAACGATACTGGGAAAGCTCAATGGGATAACATCATTGATATTCGACTCTAATATAAAACCGTATTGGAGGTACAGATTGAGATTTGAGTGCTGCCCGTAATTGATGAAAACTTGAGAAAACTTCTTACAATCCGTTAAAGTTGTGATTTCATAAGAGCCGTCACTTGTGACAGCTGCTTTTACTTTTGCACTGTTCGAATGATTGAATAAATCTAAGTATGGTGCTAATGCTAGACAATTACTGTCCGTCAACTGAAACTTTAAATTTCCACCACAATCAGGTGAAATATACACTGCCCGTGAGTTGACAGTGCACCAAGCCCACTTAAAGGATTCAAAATCGAAGATTGATCCGGCACTATTATTACAATGATCGCATTTGAGACTTTTATTTATGCTTTGTAAAAAATGTTCATACTGTTCTCTCATTTTCTTTAGCATCTTGGATATTTCCTCGGATAAAAAATCAGGAACATCGTTGGAAAAATTATAAAATGCTGGAATTGGAAATGTTTTTGGCAAGGAGTTGATGTAGTGATACCAAAAGGATTTTTCCGCTAAGTGCCTTTGAAATACTAGGAATGCAGCAAGTAACTGTTGCGTTGAAAATCTGTTTGATAGATCCGTAAATTTAGTGAAATGCTCTGACTGACTGACTGAATTCAAAGTTATGAGTAGTTTTTTGGGAATTTTCACGAGGCTATCGCCAACATGTACACTTTCTTTGGTCAAAACACCGCGTCCTGTGTTCTTAAACTCAGACACTTGAAATTTATGCAGCTGACTCCAGCCATTTCTAGTCATCCATTGCATGAAATAAACTAAATCACGATCGCTGCTTAAGTTTAAGTCCCTTGCGACATTTTTATTTTTAATCCTGGTTCGACGAGTCCTTCCCATTGTCTTAAAAAAAGATCCCTTGATCATGAATCTGAAAATGGATTAAAAAAAAAACCATTTCCATTCGAACTAAGTACCAAGAATTTCCAAAAATTTATTTCACAACAACAAAGAATATAAAAAAGAACAACGGAACATTCAACATTGAGAAACTTCGTACCTACTCAATTTAACACTAGAAGATGTTTCAGAAAAAATAAATTTACGATTTTGTCAGACTTAGAGACTCTGCACTGAAAGGACTACTATGCAACTTGCCAAAAAGGAAGAAATGAAAAATCAAGTTTGCCACACTAACCTACGTTGTAGAGACTAATTTACGATACGTAGGTGACTACCAAAGTTTGAAGGTCTTAGGATTAGGAAATTGAAAATTTATTCAAATTGCCTCCCCCCCCCTCCATCCCCGTATACACTCGGCGCTCCATATCCTTCTAAACCAATCTTGAAAGCATCAGCGCCACTCAGAGTCTGTTATGCAATGCAATTGTTCCACATGAGCAAAGATTACCATGGGGGACAAATGAGCTCTGGAACTCACTTTTTTTTCTGAATGTTTAAAAAGTTGGGTGTTATAAGGTTTTCCAGAACCCTCAACGTTGTGATAGATTCAAACAATCGATGTATTTTGCGGAAAATTGAAAACTCGGCGATAAGAATCAGCAATAAGTAGTTTATTTCATCGGCACAATGTCCGACGATGAAATTAAGTCGAAGTGTAAGAGAAACAAGCATACCACCCTCAGTCATAGTATCGCATGCGACAAACATCAAAAGAACTTCATTCCAACGCCTGGATGCAACTATTCGGGCTCCACGGATGTCCGTGTTGCATACGCACGGAAGTGAAGGCACTTTGGCTCTCCTGGCTCTCGCAGTCTCACCCGTGGCGGCGGGCTGAATTGCGAGGATTCAAAATGACAGAGCGCCTTCAATAGTTTGGACCATTTATACTACGAAGATACCGCTCAGGCACAAATAGTTGATCTACAAATGGACTACATTTTGCAATTTCGAACTATAAATTCTAGCCCGGTTTAAAAACAACGTGTGTGCCATTAGTTTCCCCATGCATGCATATAAGTGTTTTTCCAGAGTAGCTAGAATTTATAGTTCCAAATTGCAAAATGCAGTCAAAATCATGATGCTCAGCATATCGCTATTTCAAAACTGAAACACAAAAGGTACTCACAGCCGATGCGCCTTTCACATCTGATACATCTTTGTAGGTAGTACAAACGAAGAATTGAAGACGCTCTATTATTTTGGCTTATTACAATGCCAAGCAATTTTGATTTTATATGAATGGAGAATTTGCAAAGATCTGAAATTTGATGAATTTCGTACTTAAGTGGGATCTACTGAGTGAACTGAACACGAAGATACCCTTGATTCAAAAATTGAGCGATTATTAGAGGAGATATGACAAAATAACCGATTCTGCTAAAATACATGTGTTTAAATTGGAAATGCAGCCAGATGACGTCATAAGGCGGCACATTTTCTCACTTTTAAATCAATTTTTCTCCAATTTCCCGTGTCAGAAAAATATAAAACTTTTGTAGGCAAATTCTCCATTTTAATATTATTTGAACCTCTTGAACATTACAGCTATTAAAATGGAACTTTCTAAATGTCAATTTGGAGAGAAACGGGGCTGAAAAGTGAATTGTTTGGAATGGCCACACGCATTGTCTGGTGGAAATGTTGCAGCCAGTAATCTGTGATCGTGGGAAGCTTCCGTTTCCTCACAGAGCAGGAAGATAAGACGGACAAAAAGAATCTTTCTCCAAATGATAACAGCGCCCGACCTGCATCCACACACACATAACAATAGCCCAAGGGTTTAAATTGTTCAAGGCCTCTGCAATTTTCTGCTACAAGCTGGGTTTTCACAAAAAGGTCAACACAACACACTGATCAAATTTTTGGATAATTTTAGGATGCTTGCCAAAATCGTTTCACCCTGGAGTTCAGAATCGAAAATCCGTGAAAAAAGAAAATTCCGTCTGCCTTCATAATTTTTAGGGCATTTTGGTCGCGACTGCGCAGTCGAGAACAATTTGCACCCCTGCAACAATCCCACATCTCCACCAAAAAATGCGTATGAGAACGCTGAAAACTTCACTATTTAGCCGTGCTTTCCTGAGAATTGTCACATGGGAAGTTCGATTTCAAAGGATCATCTTTCTCAGGAGGTCGTATGGAACATCCCATTACTTAAATAATATTAAAATTCACCTGGCTTTACATTTTTGGTATTCCATGCATACTGAGCAGAACCCTCATTGCGAGGCATTACCTTCTTTTACTGAGGAATGCTTCAATGCAACATGCTGATGATGGTTCTGCCAATATGTTTGATACCAAATCAGGCAAGAAAAGGACTAAAGTAATGTTTTCATTTCTTAGAATACAAAACACATATCCTTTTTCAGGCATTGCAAACTTCCCAACATGCTTCTATTTTACTTTGAGTTACTTGCAAGAATCTAACGAATCGCTTGATCTCTTGAAATTTCAAGGAATAAAATTTACTCAATTCTTTAGGAAAAATGTAAAACAAATTGCACAATTTGGTAACACCGCAAGGTGCATGACTTTCGAGTTTAGCCATCAATACATAGGTAACTTAAGTTCGTAAAATTAGAACCAAAAAGACTGGAACCCTTCAGATTGCTGCAAAAGGACACCGATGGCCTAAGTTAAAAAAGTGCATCTCCAATGCGACAGTTTCAAATTTCCAGGTATGTTTATACTTCTTTGATGGAAAACAATACAGAATTTCTTTGATAACTTTCCTGTGAATATGTTTAAAAAAGTGAATTTTAACTTTGATAAAACTTGAACTCAGATTACTAGGTATAATGATAATAAAACACGAGTAAAGACAGTAAAAGTTTGCTTCACAAACATTTCATAAAAATGGACAGATTTCTATCAGGTTTGGATTCATTAAATTATTGGGTCACACAAAACACAATCACACTAAATGGAACCTGAAAAGTAGGGTGTATTCCCAAAAACGAGAATTCAAAAATACCATTCATTGGAAAATTTATCGACAGGTAACAATGCAAAAATGCAGTATCATGAACGTCACTTGACCTAGGTGATCTATCCGCACATTGCTGAGAGGACTTGTGTGATGAGTTGAATGTTCCATCAGTTAGGTTAACAATTATTTACTTTTAACTGACATGTCTTGTCCTGACAGTATTATGTTCTAACTTTTCTTCTAAATTCGCCAAAGACCAACCGCTTTAAATTCACACACCCTGCAGAATACTTACTGTTCCGCAACATAACAGAAAAAACTGCACAGAATATCATACACCACCGAAACCTATTTGTTGTGTTGAAGACTGTCAGGTTGGTACATTTTCTTGATGGGCTACCCCTCATTTCGTATACGGACAAAAGAGCTGCTTTAAAGTCTGTGCGTAATGGACATACTTAAAATATTTTTTCAGTTTCCGCAGTTGCAAATGCGTTATGTATGCTCACCAAGTACAAGAAAAATCTAAACTTGATCGTCACCCGACAGATTCAAAAAAAGTGCAAGACATGAAAAATCAATGCGGAGACTCTGAACGTCCGAAGAGATGCATTTTTCAACTTTGGCCATCAATATTTTACTAGAGGTCCAGGGATGGAAAAAATTAAATGAACTATGGTTACATTAGAGGATATGATGAACAGAATACATACTTGTAGAAAATTGGGTTTGTCCAAACTTAGGAGGCAAGCAGTGGCATATCTTTGATCGGAGCGCTGATGGCACAAAGCAGTCGATAAGCCTCTTTTTTTCAGATTTATGGTCTTGTTACTTTGAAATCCGAAATTCCATGAGACATTGGTAACTTCCAATCTTGGCACTGCAGATTTTCCGAGTAGGATCCGAGCCATGGTCTACAGTTACGTTACCGTGAGCATAGTTTTATAGAAGCGGCTGAATATCAGATGATAAAAAATATGCAAAAGGAAATAATTGATGATGGCGGCTAAATGTCACTCCTTGGTTTAAAAACTGAGAGGATATCTAGTGATTTATATACAAAGAGTAGGTGCGCAACCTAATTACCTAGTTATTCCCTAACAATTCGATTCGACACTTTTCCGAGTTTGCGACCTTATCACAGGATGGTCAATGTATTTCTAGGTTATGTCATTTTGATGTTTTGATTTGATGGATTTGATTCAGACCTCTAGCGGCATAGAGCTGAACTAAACCCTTACTTATCCGCTGTGATGTTTACTCTTGAGAAGGAAAGAGGCATGAAAAGTTGCAGAATCCCCAGCAACCATCCGCGTCGGTCACCGGTCAACGATGCATCTTCTTTTCAACAACAATAACGCTACCCTTATATACTACTTATTTCCATATCTAGTGCAACCGTTCGTATGGCTGTATTGGTAGAGCACTCGCCTGCCATAGTGAGGATGCCAAGTTCGGTTCCCGTCACCGGAAGTTTTTTNAGTAGGTGCGCAACCTAATTACCTAGTTATTCCCTAACAATTCGATTCGACACTTTTCCGAGTTTGCGACCTTATCACAGGATGGTCAATGTATTTCTAGGTTATGTCATTTTGATGTTTTGATTTGATCACGATTCAGACCTCTAGCGGCATAGAGCTGAACTAAACCCTTACTTATCAGCTGCTTGTTGTTGTTTCGATGACGCAACCCGAGCGTTTTTTTTTTTTTATTTGAGACATTTCAGTGTTTCTCCTTTTCAACTCATAATATGTTATTTGAGAGATACCCATGCGGGAAATAATAAGTTCTCAAAGGCTCAAAGGTGTGTAAATCTACTGGGCGGTTCTTGGATTTTGATTTACTCAATGTAAGGTTTTCAACTTCCTTTTCCGGTTTTCACTTCCCATTTCTAGCTTTCACTTCCCTTTTCCGGTTGCATTTTCCACTTCCGGTTTTCACCTTCAACTTTAAAGGCCTGGATACACGCTCAAATTTCCGTCAATTTCCAATCAAAATGCTGACAATAATGGCGGTCAAATTTTTGCAGGCTGCAAAAAATTTGATGGATAAATGGTGCGCACCAGCCACCATTTGATCGGAAATTGATGGACATTTGAGCGTGTATCTAGGCCTCTAGTTTTCAATTCTAATAATTTCCGGTTTTCACGTCGTATTTCTAGTTTTCACTACCCACTTCCGGTTTTCACTTCCCTTTGCCGGTTTACATTTTCCAAATCTGGTTTCTCACCTTCAACATCCAGTTTTTACTACCCCGTTTGCACTTCCCACTTCGGGATTTCATATTTCATTTCCGGTTTAGCACACTGCTGAAACCAAATGAAACCCCAATTCAGTTGTAGTCACTGCTCTTTCTTTGAACTTACTTTTTGGCCCTGTTGCAAAAGTGCGTTTTTCGTCGGTACCGCGGACTCGTGGAGCTTTTCCGACCAGAAAATCCGACTCAGCGGGTCATTTCCAAGCGGACTAGCTTGGTTTCGGCTCGATCGGAGAACTTTTCATTTTGACCCTAAAAATTTAGTCCATGGTCCCTGCCTGTGGATTTTTCTCGATTCCGGAGGGGGAAAAAAATCTCGAGATTAGTGTCGAATCCTACGCAGTTTGAGGCGTAGAATCGATTGCGCCCGGTCCCGAGACTCTCCGGAGCTCTCCAAGCCGAGAAACGGTCAAAAACGAGTGTTTCTGGTCCTGTTTCAAAAGTGCGTTTTGCTCGGTACCGCGGACTCGTGGAGCTTTTCCAGCCTCTACCAGCTAAGATAAATGTAGGTATAGTATAACCTTATAACCTTGTAACCTTAATATACCGATAGAGTACTTGTATACAGGTACTCTGCCGTGCTAAGGGAAAACGCCGTATAAGCCTTTATGCGTTGCCAAATTTCCTTTGATAAATCAAGAATTTTTAAGAGTATTCCTCAAAAAATTTCTTCCGATTTTTCAAAAAAATTCGTTCGTAATTTGATCTAAACTGTGTAAAAATTTCAAGGAAAAATATTGATAAAATTACTCCAAAATGAAACTTTAATTAGAGGAAATTTGGAAACTCTCGAATGTTCATACAGTGTTTTTCCTTAGTACGGCAGTCTGCTGCTAGTGGAATTACCGAGGGAGACGAGATCACGAGAGTGCCAGAGCGGAAGAGGCTCAAAGATTGCATACGTGCTAAAGCGAAGGCGCGTCATGTCTTGGAACTCCAAATTAAAGTAGGGGGAAAACAAGGGTCAATCGCTGATGGATACAAAAAACGCGTATCTTCGCATTTCTACTGTCCTCTGTGACTGCTAACATTTTCCAAAAAAAGTCAAGGGACTGAAAAAGTATCCGATTCTTGATATTTTCGCCAAGTTTTAAGTTTGTACTGTTAGCTGGAAGGAAGTTGGGAAGTTATTTCACTCTCATGAAAAATCGTACTTTCAGAGACACGTGTTATTGGTCTATTATTCGCGCACAGTGTGTTGGTGATTAGATTTATCAATCGTTAAAGTGAAATGATGCAAATATTTGACTCACCATTCAGAGAAATTTGACTTGCTGGTACTGCTAGTGGTATCCTTTCGTGATGAAGTCGTTCCGAGCGTGATCAAATGAAGAAGACGGCCAGTGTCTGCCCGCGATGACACAACGCGACGCTGTTTCTTCAGATTCTAGATCTGGATGCATGGTTGTTTCTAATTTTATTTCTTTCAATACGCTACTTTTAACAAGGTCTTTTTTTGGCTGTAAAAATTATGAGGATATCTACTTGAACAGTCTTGATCAAATAATTTGATTAAAATTGCTTTCAGTTAATTATTTTTATTATTCAAAATTTACATTTTCCACATTTTGGTGCATTTAAAAGTTATGTTACTTCCAAATGTGAAAATGTAAATCTGATCCCCCCTCTGTTACAAAAAAACTTCCTCAAAATGGGTATTCTATCTTCTCCACATCTTCAAAATTTCTGTTGAAATTAAAATGAAAAAGAAATATAAAATCAAAGATACTGGAATCCAAGCACCATTACTTCCAGAGGAACCGATACAAAGATTGCGAAATAGAATACTGATTTTAAAAACTGAAAGTCTGAAAATGATGCATCATTTTCGGGTTTATGAAGCCAAGAAATATGTTAGCCGAAAAGATCATTTTAACCTTATCGAGAAATGAGACATTATATCTAGAAAGTACAGGATGAATTTAAGAGGGAGATACAAGGTGTCTGGTACAAAAAGTAAAAAAAAGAGATAGGAATACAAATCTATTTAATGCATCAGACACCTAAATCAGGAAGTCCTATTAAAAAATCATTTTGTTGGCAATGATAATGTTTCTGGACGCGATCGAACATACTCGGAGCATAATTTTGAATTATGAAGATTATGAGATTATGAATAACTTTTTATTGAAATTCACCGACTGAATGACCTCTTTCGGCTTAGTTTTTGAATTCTGAGTAATTCGTGAGCAAGGTGCAATCATTTTAATGATGGTTTCATTAGCTTTTAGGTGCTGGAGTCGGGTCAAATTAACCCAAGGCTTGCTAATAGGTACACGCGTCCCGCGTGTTTTAAAGGACCTGTAAGTACATACGAGTCTTACATGCAGGTCTGCAAGTACATTTTAAAAAAAGATCAGACATCAAATTTGAAAAAAAAATCGAGCACCAACACAGTCGAAGCTAGAAAAGACGTAATCGGACTTCGGTTTTTAGCTTTTTCTCCCGAATCTGAGCGACACCTCCTTGGCAGGATAGAGCGGATCATTGCGAGTTCACGCGTCGTGCCGTCGCGCCTTCAATTTTGCAGCTGCAACACGGACATCCATCAAGCACGTATAGTTGTATCTCTGCGCCGTCGTCAACGCGCGTCCTTTCCCTCGCTAAACTGAGTTGGTTTTGTTCGTCTCATTTGTAGTGTTGCTTCAAGGGCGACGTGAGCAACACAACCGAAGATACGAAGGACGCAATCCGGCCTCTTTTTTATTAAAATTTTCTTCTCGAAGCTCACTAGCAGCCTAATGCAGAGCATTGCGAGTTGACACCTCATGACCCACGCCATCGAGCCTTATATTTTTCCTATGCAATATAGATAATAGACGTCCATCAAGTACGAATAGTTGGATCGCGTTTATCTGTCTCTTGATTTTGAAATTTGAGAATATGTAAGGTTAAGTTTTCTTAAAATTTGATGTGTCCAAATCAATAATTATCTTGAGAAGGAAAACTTGTGTTTAAAGGTCTCTCGAGCACTCCAAAGGATGCACGTCTGAATTGACCCGACTATCTTTTCTGAGGATGTTACATATGTATAGACGGTGCAAATCGGCAATCACATAACTCGGTTGGCGACGTCGCAGACTTCCTGTCATACTTTATTTTTTAAACGGAAAACTACTCAAGGGCAATTCTTTAAAACTGCCGTGATTTTTCTTCTCTGCGCGAAGAAAATTCTGCAGGAACTTCAAAAAATGATTTCAATTTGTTCTGCTTTAAAATAAATGACATAGAGGCGGAGATTTTCAGACACCGCAAACGAGATATGTGATTGCGGACTTACGCCGTCGAATGGCGGATAAGGGGAGGAGGCGATAAAGGCGTCAGCACGTTGCCAAAAAGATGAATATTTCAGGGAAAAATATTTCTTCTTTCTTTCGCACTAATGGGCCTGTTGCATGCAAGAGATACAGCCGTGCGAGTAGACTTTATGGAGGTTAAATGACACGAAAATTACGATGATCACATTAAAAAAGTCTGAAATACACTCCATGCTACGCAATTTGCGTTGTTAGGAACGCGCTTTTTCAAATTTCCCGCGTCTGGGGGCAGTTTTCTAACGGAAACAATTAACGGCAAATCGCGGCTATTTCCGGTCAACTAAAACTGACAACATAACCTAAAAATCGGAGTTCGTGACATCGTGAAATGAAATGTAGAAGGATTGCGTTGGATATTTAAAAGTTGATCGATTTGGTTACCGCATAAAGCGTACATGGACCACTATAAGAGATCACGTTGGGTTTGTAAACAAACTGAAGGAAAAAATAACAACAACAACAACGACTCGGCACTTTCCGGAAATCACCGAGCCCGCCGTTTGCTCGTTTCCGGTGATTAAAAAACTGCCCCCAAACGCGGGAAATTTGAAAAAGCGCGTTCCTAACGACGCATATTGCGCAGTAAGGAGTGTATTTCAGACTTTTTTAATGTGACTATCGTAATTTTCGTGTCCTTTAACCTCTAAAAAGTCTATTCGCGCGGCTGTATCTCTTGCATGCAACAGGCCCATTGTAAGTCCCAGAAAACAATGGGTGAAATGACGCCTGCATTTGTAACTGGTTTCAATAATGATATGTGTTTTAAATAAAGGCATTTATAATTGCCACACAATTTTTTTTGTTAATATAATTTTATAAAATACTCAGCTTAATTTGAGGCTGTTTTCGTTGAATTTTTTTTTTTTTTTTTTTTTTTTTTTTTTTTTTTTTTTTTTTTTTTTTTTTTTTTTACTTTTCAATCGCACTTTTGAGAGTTAAAAGCATTTTCCGCAGCAAGAATTTATTTGCAAACACGACAATTGTGACTCTCTACGTGCATTTGGGATGAGGATTGGAGGTAAGGCTGCTACATGCCGGGCATTAGCGCAACAGTATGACATCCATCATAATTGCTGCGGTTGTTCGGAATATTAATTACTTATTGTCCGGCGACCCAGCCATCTAACCAACGAGTCATCAGGTCGTCCAGTCAAGTGTCAATGAGCGCAGCTGCTCACTCCAAGTTTCAGTTTTATGACACAAAAATAAAGTCGTCAAAGGATGTTTTTCAGAAACACACTACCGCTCTTATTTAAACATGGTTAAAGTCTTACATCCTGATTTTTGACTTGGCAACTTTGAGATCAGATCTGAAACCTTCATTCTGATAATCTAATTTGAAATTCGTATCAGTCTACAGAATATCGACCGTGTAAGTCGGCAATCACATAACTCGGTTTGCGACGTCGCAGACTTCCTGTCATACTTTTTACTATTTTTTAAACAGAAAACTACTCAACGGCAATACTTAAAAACTGCCATGATTTTTCGTCTCTGTGCGAAGAAAATTCTGCAAAAACTTCATGGAATGACGTCAATTTGTTCTCCTTTAAAAAAATAACATAGAGGCGGAGATTTTCAGACACCGCAAACGAGTTATGTGATTGCCGACTTACACCGTTGATAGGTATGCTATTTTATTGATCGGTATAGCAATCCGAGATTTTTGTAAGTGACTTATCTGTTTCAGCCAAACTGTAAGATAATTTTTTTTGAAAAATATGTAACCCTAATTGGACCGAGTTTATCAGAAAGGAACAGACCCCTTTTTTTTCGAAAAAATTGAGTTAAGAATGTTTTTTAAGTTCCTCTACAGCCGTATATTTTCTCCTGCCAAAAACTCAAAGTCGCAAAAGAAAACTAGTTTGTGAAAATAGGGGTTAAAGTTTATTTTCTACATGGAGCCTTATGCAGGAATAAAATTTCAAACCTCTTTTTCTCAGTTTCAACTTAATGTGGGTTGGTTCCTCTTTGATGAACTAGGTCCATTTGGAACCAAGATTCGAGGCTTTCTGAAGAGGTTCTCTCTTCCTCTCTGTCTCCCTCATTCTCTTGCTCTCTCTCTCTCTCTCTCTTCTTAATTTCTCTGAAAAATTTATTTTTGAAATAACATTGTACTGCTTGCTGCCTTGTTTATAACTTGAGGTATTTACATAATATTTTTGTCCTCCCATGGAAAGATCTGTTGAATGGGTCAAAATATAGGTAGTCCATTTCTTATGCTTCATTTTTAATTTATTTTTGAACAAGTTATTTTACCAATTCTTATTGGTATATTATTAATATCTTGACTTCAGAAAACTTAGGAAAAATGAAACAAAGTTCATCAGTCTTCTAATTGGAGATTTCACATTGATGTAAATCTGGTAAGGCTATCTTCCAACGATTAACTGTAGCTTACCACAGTTTTGAGACGGTTACCTTTTGGGCTTATTCAGTCCAGTCCAAGGAGGGCAGGGCATGACAGGATTAATGCCGACTTCTAAAGATTTAAACTACAAGATTAGTCAAGTTTGATTGCCCTTTTAAGGTTGAGGTATTATTAAAATTTAAGTGGTTAAAGTTGTTTCTCATTTCCCATATTTCAACAATTTCATTATAATAATGAAAGACTAATTTTGAAAAAGCAATGTTGCGGAAATCTCTTGGCAACCTAAAGACAGGGCTGCTACAGAAATAGGGAAAAAGCTTAAAATTAAAATATAGACACTTTAAGATTATGACAAGCTTTGGTTGACGGTTGTTGGAGTGTCACTCGCTCCACTTTGGCTGCGACAGAACAGTATCGGTGAAAATAATTAATCTCAGCAATTTTCCGTACTCCATGCACTGAGATTTTTGTGACGAGAGTGTGCCGAAAGATATTAGTGGGTACCTTTAACAGTATGAATCTTGAATCAGAATGCACAGGCCTTAAATATACTTACCTATACCTTATGTCCTTAGCTTCCTATCTTTTGGATCACAGACAGTTGTGTTAAGTTGATTTTACCCAATTAAACTGATGTGTTCCAAGCTTAAGGCTTTTTCCTGATTTTTAGAGTGCAAGTAACACATGCTCATAAGATAAAATATTAAAATTAATCAAATAAATAAAATGGGTTGACTCTCGTTACTCTGTACATGCTGAGTTTGGGAGTCCCTAGGTACTCATCTAATTAACTCAACAACCTCAGCGGTAGGCCTTTATTTATAATTCAGAAAAATATTTCGTGTATATTAACCTGAAAAGAAAAATATAATTGCATTGGAACGGGTGAAATCATATCAACTTGATTCACCATCTTTGAGCGTCATTCTCGGTATTTTTCTAACCGCTGGCATCAAGTGGAAAGCTCGTAGTAGACGTGAATCTCCATTAACGTCACTAATTCAACGGATCATTCTTCATTGCAACCTTCGCAACACTTGTATTGCCATTACTAGCACTTAGAGCTGTGAATTTGATTGACATTTTTTCACGCGGCTTTGGTCATTGCGAAAAAACGTCACACAAGTGTATAGGCAATACTATTCATTGATCGTCAGCTGAATGAGGAATTTTCTTCTTCCTCTTTTCGTAATTAATTAAAGTTCCTTCGTAATCGATTGATGGATTTGTCAGTCCCTGAGCTCGTTCAAGTCGATTGAAGAAAAATTTTGTATTTGGTAGCGATGTGTGTTTTATGACCTACAATCTTCGCAAACCAAATACTTAAAAAATAATTATTCGAAGAAATTAGAAACATCTCATTTTTATTTGACTAATACATACACTCTATGTGATAAAAAAATGTCAGTTCTCAAAAATTCTTTTGCAACTTTTTGGCGTTTTTGAGAGTCAATCGTTGGATTCAACAACAAAAAAATTCACCGAATCACTGAATCACTTGTAATTGGCCTAAGTGTACCAAAAAAAAGTTGCTCCGACAAATCCTGTGAGTTTCTTGAGTAAAAATTTTAAAGTTGTTTTTCTCTTTAACTTCGTCTATTTCTTTTAATTTAACCTAGGCCCAAATATTGTCCGTAATGAACTTCCATGCGCGAACGACTATGGGTACTTTTTGATTCTGAAAACAATTCTTTGTACTTCCTATCAATGCTTGCATCAATTATTTTATTAAATTAAATTCATCCAAGATGAAACAAAATACTGTAGAAACTAAAATTTTGTTCTTGTAAGTGATAAAATTTCACCAATGAATTTTTAATGGAACTTCGGAGAATACGCATGATGTTATAATAAGGATGAGTTACGCAAAACATTAAGGACGGTATCTACTAAAGGGTTCCCAACGTCATTTATCAGTAAAATCAAAGCTCATTGATCAATAGTTCTGTGTTTTTTGACTAGATAACTATTCGCGCTCGTTGGTATATTTGTTGCCCATACGATGAAATTGAAGGCGAACTTAAAGTGGTCGATGTCTGTCTATTGTTCTTTCAACGTTTATGGAATCATACTAGTTCATGTCTTTCGAATAGGTAACCATTCGTCCTGTAGGTATGGCGCCTTATAGCGAAAATGAAGGCGAACTTAGTATGGACGATATCTGCCGATGCCGATTGGTTCGTTTATTGATTTGATCAAAGATGATGGAGCGATCGAATCGTGTGTTTTTCGGATAGAACATTTTTCGCGCTCTCCGGTATGTTTGTTGCCTATGCGATGAAATTGAAGGATAATCTCTGGTAGACAATATCTTTAAATAGGTTTACACATTAGCCATAGGTTCTAGCAAAGCTAATGGAGATACATAAGTGTAAGGTTTGAATAGATATCTATCTGAGGTCTGCGCTCTTTGGTAGATCTGTTGCCAACTCGCTGAAATTAAAGGCAAGATTCAAGTGAATGACATCTACCAGAAGAGTCACATATCGTTATTAGATCATTCAATCAATGCAGCGGGATACTTAAGTTATTCCGAATAGCTCGCTATTATTGCTCATTAAGAGATTCGATACTTATCATTACTCTTCGTTTTTCTTCATTTTGCCTATAATTTTTGTCCCCGTCATTTTTCTTTCCTCTCATTTTAGAACTCTTGTTGAGATGGCGGGCAGTGCAGCCGCTCATAATGCTCTACCTTCCGTCTGGCCCTGCTACTGCAGTCCTGGGGTAGGTAAGTTACAGTGTTCGAAACTCACAGGCGCCAACGCGCCAAGTACGCCTAAGAAATCGGTCATTGCACCTAAAAAATGAAGGCTCTGCGCCAAAGTGGCTCCTAAAAATTGCCCCCTCCCCCCAGAAAAATCCCAATTTTTCTGTTTGGTGATTTTTCGAAATTTCCCTCATGTTACAGTTACTAGTTTTGTCTTCTGTAACTAAAACATCTTGCGTCTAACTTTTCACTAAATGCACCGTGATATGTAAGCAAAAAGTCAATCTGGCCTTTAAAAATTCTTCAATGGCCCCTAAAAATCGAGCTCGTTGCGCCACATGGCTCCTGAAACTCAAAGGTGAGTTTCGAACACTGGTAAGTTAGGAAGTTATTTGATCGATCAATTTTTCTTCAGAGCATTGGCAGTTAGAGCTCGTGTAATTGTTCAGAACAAACACCTCCTTTTGTCTCTGCGTTGGGGTAAATTCATGTGTGAATCAGTTTCTTACTCGTGCGGAGCTTTCGAATCATTGACACCTCATGCACAGTTGATGACCTAGCTCTCGGATAGCATCACACACCGATTGCATGTAAAATTATCGGCAAGAATGCCTCGAGCATGTTCCACATCGGGAAAAAGAGGCGAATGGCTCCCTCGGAAGGTTGAGCCGAGGGAAAACAACGCAAGGACGATCGGAAAGGTTGCTCAGCCTTGCGGGTTGGCAGCGCGAGAGCGTCGTAATATTTAATATCGGCGAGAGATATGGTCGTGGAATCAGAATCGACAGTGGATCGGAAGAACAATGCTGGTGCGAAGGTTCCTCATCCGTGGTGCCCGGGCTTCCGTCTCGGCTCGGCTCGGACGGGCCATCAGCCATGCCGCGCACGCGCAGGCCCCGCAACAATAGGAAGATCCGCACTACGCAGGCGCAGTCGCATCGTGGACGCGCAGACGCGCCAACCTACTCCAAATTCGCGAATAGATGCGATTCACCTGAGCGGTTGGACCGTGGCAGCAGGTCGCGCGGTGCGTTCACTCATGACAACGACGACAGGTCTTTTTCAAGGTGGGTCACACGACTAGGAGTAATTATTGAAGACGAACTCGACGAAGCATCTTGAAGTAGAAGCGCGATAAATAGGCGTATCTGGATCAATATTCTGGAAGTAGTCTAGCTCCCATTTTTTAGGATTTTTCCTCGAAGTTGATTCAAGTTGTGCACTGGAGCAGTGGCCGATGGGATGAGGAGAGGGAGTTACGTGCTTTATGGACGGCCGCACGTAACGTTTGTCTCTATCGTTGAGTTATACATTGGAACCATCATGTCTATTTTTACAACAGAATATAACTTAAAAGGGGAATACTTTAAAAATGATTCTAGAGCAGTGACGTGGCCAGAATTGTTTTATGGGGGGAGTCTATGATCAAAAATGTCTTGTATAGGGGGTCCAGACTACCTTAACCTATAACCTCTCCTGCGTCACTGCTGCAGCATGGCCTGCAACGAAATTTCTCTTCATTCGGAAGAGCCCTTATACTGCACCACTAGATAAGGTGCGAATTTCAGCATTCCGATACATGTTTTTCTGAAGAGGCCTGTGACTTTCCTGGGAATCAAAATTTCACGTAAAACAAGATTTGTGCGACGAGTATTTCGGAAGTTATCTCCTAAAACATAGACATTTTTTGATGCATTAATTCACACCTCGCGCCCATGGAAAAACAAAAGTTTACGTCGGTCAAACGTTACATTACGTTAAGTTACGTTATGTTACGTTACTTAAATGTTACCGTAACGGTCTCTTTAGGATGAAAATATGGCAATATAACACCTTTAAAAGCCTAAGGCGGGTAATGAACATTGCTTGATTAAAAATCCTGTCAAATCGTTGTGTTGTACCTAGTGAGCAATTTGATTCTCTGACAGGGTGGCATGAAGGAAGAAATGAAATATTGGAAATTTCAATGAAATATTTCAAGAAATTTCACGAGGTTGTGAAATATTTCATATTTTTCAGGAGCTGAAGTATGCAACCCGCACGCAAACACACAAAAATCGAAGAAAGTCACAATTATTGCATTTTGCAGAACATGAAAAGGAACCGGTATTTTCCAATATTTTTCAAAAATTTCTGAAATTTTATAAAATATTTCACATTTTAGGTTTTTTTTTCAGATTTTGTTTTTCATGAAATTTTTCCACCCTGTTCTCTGATATTGTTTTTCTCGGAATTCAAACCCAAAGTCAATCAATATATTATACTAAATACGTCAATATCTTAAAAAAGGAGTTGATATTAGAAGGTAATTTTCATGGTGCGACTTGTGTTTTAGGTAAAATTTTGATGAAGAAACACGCATCATCACACTTGAAAAAAAAACACATTGGATCTAGAGTCCAGACTCTAGAAAACATTGACAAGAAAAAATGCTCTGGATTCAATCAGATTTAAGCTTAAATCAAAAGTAAATTCGCTTAAATTAAAAGGCTTGGTTCTTGATTTAAGCAAAAATCCGATCGAATCAAGAGTATTTTTTCTTGACGATGTTTTCAAGAGTCTGGACTCTAGATACAATGTGTTTTTTTTCCGGTGCAGAATGCTCAAATTCGGATCTTGCATAGCGGTCCCACTCATTATGAGTGGATCACAGGATAAGCGTGGGCTGGATTTCTGCGTTATTCCGAATGTATCGGAAGGAGACTTATGTCTCAGCAAAGGGGTATGTTGGGTCGATGAATGGGGAATCGAGTCGGAGTCATCGTCATCACGGAATGATGGCTGATTCATCGCC